TTTTTTTTTGTTTTTTTAATGCAACTGGGCAGCAGAGGTCGCTATTAGGTAGGTCTTCGGTCTACTATAGCCAGTGGTGTGATGATAATTTGTATTCATAAAATCATTGCGTTTTATGTAACACGATCATAGACGGTATTAGATCAGCTCAAAGTTACATTTTAGGCTGCTTTTGCATTATAAACAAGTATAAAATGTGCGTGTGAAACCGGCCCAATGTGTTTCGTGCACGCGGAAGACTACATTCCCCATGATACTCACGCCAAATCAGCCTCGGCCAATAAGAAGTCCGTTTGTTGAATGGGCGCAAAAATCTGTTGTCTGGGTTTACAGGTACACATTGAGAGAGTTAATCTCCGGTCAAAACAAAGGGAAAAATATTTAACTGTAATGAACGTTACTGAGCTTTACTCCAACGAGGGGTACGAGTGAAGAGCGACTCTCCGGGAGACAGGTCGCACGTCGTGTCTAGCGTAATGCTAAACAAACTGCTCGCTGCTACTTCATGAATTGAGCTCTTATTGCTAGCCAGCTAACACGTTAGCGCTGCCTCTTACAAACAATGTCCAGTCTACCACAAAATAACTTGAAGGAACAGCTAGCGAGGCACAGCAATGCTGCTCAAAGCAAGCAGTCTGTTGCTAAACCTAAACCGGGGTAAGTATGGCCAAAAAACTGCAGGGATAAACTGCTAGCTAACTGTAAGCTTTGCTAACAGCAAAAGGATGGATACGTTTTGTTATTTACTGTACACTCTGTTTAGGGTGACAGTGCTGGGCATGCGATATGGTTTCGAATTGCGACACTTTCACCTCAAAGTCTGTAAGACTGTCTGTTAGACTAGCTGTCTTAACAGTCATATTGTTTTTATAATTCAGCTCCTTTTGTGTGTAATTTTCAGGGCTTTTTCTTTCAAAAAGAAGTCCTCATCAGGTACGACCAAGATGGAAGTCCCTACCAAGGTAATCAGCTCAAATGCTTTGGCAAACAGGAATGTCAATGTCCCCAAGAGCGGTTTGGTGACTAAATCTCCTTTGACATTTTCAAACAAGCTTGAGAGACCTCAAAAATCCAAAATCAACAACTACTTCTCTCTAAGTTCAAAATGCAAGTCGGATACCATCAGCCCAGCAGATATTGCCTCTCCTGCATCCCAAACACCTTCAGTGGTCTCTGATATTAAGTCAGCACCAGCTCCAGCTAAATCTGACAGCCTGTCTTGTAGCAGTAATTCATTCAATTTCACAGCTCTGGATGTGTCACGTAGTTTTCCTGTGGACAACTGGGATGATTTAGATGACTTTGAAACACCAGCCAAGGGAAAAAACAACTCATTCAGTTCAGAAGTATCAGAGAAAAGTGGCAAACTACTGCCATCCCCTACTGGAGAAAAAGCAGAATCGACAGGGAAACTAAACTATGATTCCTTATTTAAAACATCCAAATTAACTAGCAAGAGTGGTAAGCAAACCTGCATGGAAACAGATGAGCCAGAGGAAAATGTCAACACCGCTGCAGTTTCACCAGGACCCAGTTTAAACCAGGAACCAGCAGACTGGTCAGATGAGGAGGAACTTGCCATTAAGATGAACAGAAAACATCCTGCACATCTAAAGCATATCTTGAGTGACAGTGAAGAAGATAATAATGCTGAGCTGGAACCTTTTACAGGAAGCACAGGTAACTGGGTGTTTATTTTAGGTATACACTGGTCAACAGATTACATTTAAAAACAAAAAGACGCTATGTGCTACCATGTGTTACTCTATAGGTAACAAGAAAATATGGATTGACCCAAAGACAATAGAGATAGATGACAACTCTGAGCCTGAAGATGACCTTGATTGCATTCCACCTTCACCCATCCCTGATGAGATCATTTACGCAGGCTCAGCACTGGAGACAAGGTCAGACTTTAGACTTGTCTGCATATTTTACCAATCATACTTGTGTTTGTAGCAGCCAAAATGCTCGAATGTTCTCTTTCATCCTGTAAAAAGTTGTTACTGCCAGCAATCGCTTCTCTGTAGTGATAATAGTTAGATTGATGGGGAAAGTTTTAAATATAGACAGTATATAAGACAGCCTTGGCTTCAGAGATGGTGCCAGTGAGCAAAAGGCGTAAACTTGAATTTCTTTAATGGCCAGCAAGTTTGGTTCCTCTGAACTTCCTATCTGTGGGGAAAAAGATCTGTGGGTTTCTCATCTTTGACCTTAATAAATACTTAGCTGATGAACTTAATCACTCTTTCAGGTCATATTTATTATAACAAGAAAGTCATTTTAAAAATTACGGTTGTTCTAAGAGTTAGAAACGTATCACATGACTTTCTTTATTTTCAAACAGAGCTGAATCAGCTGATGCTCAAATTGGAGACAATGCTGTGAAATCAAAGAGCCCCGTCGCACTGCGTGAACCATCCGAGCTCTGCTTAAAAGACAAAACAAGTGAGTGTTGTACCTTTAAAAAAAAAAAAAAAAAATCCTATACCTCATTTTATTCAAAAGTATGTTTTGTTGTGTTTTTTCTTCCATGTATTGAATTCTTTTCAGATGAAAAACTTTTTGCTATCATGGAGTCCATTTGTGCTCTGGTTGACTCCATCCCTGAACATGAATTAATTGCTTTGTCCTGTGGAGATGAACTTTTACTGAAGAGGGCCCAGAGGTGTGTTAGCTTTGTGTGTAGTTTTGGTATTATTCATGGTGTTTTAATTAAATCTCTTTATGACCATAATCACCTGCTTTTATCCTGCAGGAAGAGAATTCTTGCAACTGGCGGTGACTGTTTGTTTAGGATGCAGCAGCCAGACAGCACAGTGATTTCTGAACCCAGCTTCAAAGAAACATCTTTTTCTAGCAACGGTGTTTCATCCAACTGCTCTGTGCCTGTGGACTCCAAGAAGCCTCCTCAGCATAGAAGATCTTCAGTCATCTCTGTGGACTATGACTCTGATCACTCTGACAGTGTTATTGATATAAAGCCCTTGGATAATAAGGACAGCAGGGCAATAAGTGTTGAAACTGACAGTATCTGTGACTCTCCATCAGCACACAGGTTCACAAAGCCATCTTTTAATATATCTGAGAAATCAAGCATTGATCTTGATGGCTCAGACCTCTTCTTCTCACCCAAGGACTCAGAGAGTGGTGCGCAGAAGAAATCAAACAACACCCCAACGTTTGTAGCTGCTGAAGATGAAGAAATGGATGACTTCTATAATGACGACTTTGATATAGATGACTTTAATGACTCTGATATCCCAGATTACTTTGACGAACCACAAACTTCATCAGCTGTGACTACAGCAGTGAAAGAGGGGGGGCCGAGCAAGTCCTCATGGGAAAAGAAACCAACAACACCTACTTCTGCTCCAAAGCCGTCAACAATTTGTTCTCCAGGCAAGTCATTTTGTACTCACTGAATCTGTTTTTGAGGCATCTGAGAACAGCCTATTGTGTCCCTCTGGTCCACAAATCTCATACAGTTCTAGATTGTTACACATTCCATGTGTACTGATTTCATTCTCCTGAAATGCAAAACTCCATATGAATTATATATTTAACAGAAAACGTATGTTTTTAAAGGTGGTCTGTCATACCTGATAAACACAGGATTTGATTTTTAAGGAACTTGTCTTTTTTGTGTCTCTATTTGCAGAACCCACCTTCAAAAACCCAGCTCATGATCGCTTCAGAGGCTTTAACTTCCCTCATTCACAAGAGATGATGAAGATCTTTCACAAGCGTTTTGGACTTCATCAGTTCAGGTTTAATCAACTAGAAGCGATTAATGCTGCACTGCTGGGTGAAGATGCGTTTGTTTTAATGCCCACAGGTTTGTAAAAGCATGCTTACAGTAGCAGTGCAGCGTTTGCTGTGAAGATGTCCAGGTATCTTAAACTGTTGTATTTTTTAGGTGGAGGGAAAAGTTTGTGCTATCAGCTGCCTGCGTGTGTCTCGCTGGGGGTCACTGTGGTGGTTTCTCCACTCAAATCACTCATCGTAGACCAAGTTCAGAAACTCACCACTCTGGATGTAAGTATGCTTGTTTCCACTCGTATATTTGATCAGAGAAAAGTGTGAAGTGCTTATGCGTGTACTTGGAAAATGTATTAAATAAATAAGTTAATTTAATAGGTTTAAAAAGCATTTTCATTTTAACAGTTTTTCAAAACTATGGGTCAGTTCATATCTTAACTTTTGGCAGTCAGATTTGGTTCATTTCACCAGTTGGCCCCTGTCTGCCACTTGATTACTTGATAATGATTGGATTATAACATGCATCTCAATATAAGGCCCAGGGGCCAGAACTTGTCAGGCAAAGACTCCAGTTTGGCCCAAAGTAAGGTCTTGGAAAGTGTGAAGGAGGGCATCATTTTTGCACTGTTAACTGTGTTTTTTGGTTTTGTTTTTTTTTTTGTTTTTTTTTTAAATAAGTTTTGTTTTTCCTGTTGATAAACACCTCCCCTATGGCCATTCAATTAGAAAAAAGTAATTAGGTAACGTATAAACAATTAAATAACAACAGAAAAAATCCTGTCTACAATTGAAACAAATGTTTTTTTCAAAATAAGTAATTATTTTGAAAAAACAGACATCCCGGTGCATACGTTTTCTGCTTTATGGTTAAATCACAGCCTGAGAAATGAAGTGCCACAGCCTTTTCTGAAATTTTACACATTTATTTCTCACAAGTTAAGTCCAAAGAGTCGTGCTGACAAATGTCTTTAATTTACTACAGCAGCATTTCTTTGTCATGTAGAGACTGCATTTGATTTGCTTATATTAAGATATCGGAGGGATTAACTGTGTAGTTAAACTTCCTTAGACTGACCAAAAGTTTTGCTTGTCCAGCCCACTTGCATTAATGTTTTCACTAACAGCTCCTCATTACATGGGAAATGGAACTGCGAGTCAATATTGTGAATAGTAATTTCAGTCTTGGTTAAGGAAGTTTTTTATACTTCTGCTGTTTTTTTTGTTTTTTTTTGTGTTGTTGTTGTGGTTTGTTTTG